GTAAATGATAAATTCCATTATGTAATTCTTGATCACAATCACTTTCAATTCACTCAGATTTATAGCCACACTTCACTTTTTCTTTAAATACTATTAAAATAATCTATGTGCATGACTAACTTCTCACTTTTTTTTATTTAAAAGTAAAACCTAAAAACTTTCTTTTTAAGAGCATATATTCCTAACATGCAGAGCTGAAGGGAACTGCCTTTCCTAGATATTGTCCTACAGGAGAAAAAGTGTAAAACTTTTTCCTTAATTCACTGTACATACCCAATTTTACCAAGATTACTTAAAAGCAATAAAATACCTTCTTATCTGCTCTTTCAAAAAATAACAAAAAAGAGTCAAAGAATTCTGGTTTCAAAAAATAAGCATAGTTTCTGCACATCTTACTAAGCTACGTAACACCATGTGCTAATATACAAAATAAGTGTCTCTAAGAAACAAAGAAAAGTTTGGGAAAACGCTCATAAGTTGGTATCCAGAATTGTGTATGCAAGTGACATCCATCTTTAACCACATACGGTTATTCCTCTTTCACGTGTTTATGCCATGACTTCTCAAGGTATGCAGTTAAATATTTGTTAGAACTTTCATGCTTGAGAAAAATCAAAGATTTATCATGCCTGCATTTACTGCTATAAATTGATTTACATACATACATAAAACAGACACACAGCTAAACTGTTCTACATATAGAACCCAAGGTCTTACACACGATCATGATGCTGTTGGACTCCACCGCAAAGCCAAATCATTTCTGCTGATACCTAAATCTCGATTCTGTTTTGAGTTTGTTGTTTAAGGTCCTTTGCCCAGGATCCATGTCCCAGCAGTTGTTGTTACTCTTCTTTATGGTTTGGTCCTATTCCTGACATTAGGCTCTCATTACCAGTAATACAAACTTTAAGGGTGGCTGGACTCCTAGTACTGCTTGATTCCAGAGAAAGCTTGAGAAAAAAAAAATGATCCCTATTGTGTGTCAGAAATGTTTACAGATATACTGGATATGTATCACCCTTGGATAGTCATATCAAAGCAAGTAAATACCTTGGATTTTCCAAGCGTCACATCCCCCCAGAGACCTCTCTAACTGCTGATTGCCCAACGTGCAGTAGCAGAGCTGGGCAACAGGAGGTGGATGGCAAAGAGAACGGGAATGAACTGCTCACCTTAAAAACACACTTGCAAGAATATTAGAGCAGTAACAACTGGACAAGGTTGCAGGAAGACATATGCATTTTTGTCTTCATGTAGTAATTTTTAAACTTATTAATAGCAATTGTTACGTGGTTAGAAATAAAAGCAACTTCCGTTTCCTTGTCTGCTGTTTCAGAAAAGCAACAGAACTACCCAAATCAGTGGGGCAGGCGGATGAAGACAGCATATACTTTTTCTTTTGCAATGAACCTTCATTCAAATGTCTGAATCTGTAGAATAGGAACACCTAAACACTGCAACAAGCAGATCTAATTTATTCCTGACTAATCCTCTAGCTTCTTATGATATCTGGGTCAAACCTAAATGTTAAAGCTATGTAACAAGAAAAAAAAAAAAAAAGAACATGTGCTGGAGCGGAAATTGGGGATTTCTAGTGATATTTCCTGCTACTGGTGTTGTATTCCTGCCTCATATATCTTTCCACCACGTCCCCAGGAGGGCACCTTTGCCCACCCATGCAGAAGTGTAGCCAGAAAACTCCTCCGTCTTTGCATATGAGAACTTAATACACAAAGCAAGAACAGAGCAAGAATTGCCTTCGCCTAGCTATGATGTCCCTTACTGAAATCACCATCCACACTGATATCAGACAGCTATGCTAAAAAGCCATGAACTCATGTCAGACAAACAGAAGTCGTAGTCACTGGCTTCTCAGCACAGCTGGGAGAACAAGTAGAGCTGGCACTGTCAGGGCAACTGCACAAGTGGGCGTTCAAATATCCAGAAAGAAGGAAGGGCTTGTGTTACTCGCATCTGTCAGCTTGCCGCTTTATGGCATCCTGCATTGTTTAAATATACTCCTCAGCTCCCGAGCTGAGCATGGCAAGCTATAAAAGCGTCATAGCGAGGCCAGATCTAGATGCCAGCCACAGCATAAACACTACCAGAGAGGCAGGCACGAGGCTTGCGGGTGCCTGTGGCTAGCACACGCATGCAGGGCTGCTCCGCTAGTCAGGCTGGTGGTCCATAACACATCCCTCCCAAGAGTCCAAGCTTTTGGCATCGCACAGTTGTATTAGTTTCCATTTATTAAAATACATGGATAGTTGCCAGATGTGAATGAATCGTTTATAACCAGTGTAGTGATGTCTGCCTGAGTTTGCAGGATGTATAGACCACAGACATCAGGATCAACTGGAGGGAGGCCTGGCATTACTGTGCCTAAAGCTCCAACAATCCTGCTCTAGACATAGACAAAGATTTCCCCTGTGCCTTTTGCACATGGCTTGTCTGACTGTTTGGGGAATGGACTCTGGCATGGTGGCTACCGCCCATCCCCTCCCTTCTGCAAAATGCTTCCAAAGTCAGAGGGTAGCTTGAGACATGTTTGGAAGACTTGGGGCATACTGGCTATGTCCCCATTCCTGACATAAGTTTCCAGTCCTCTAGCTGCTGAGATCCCTCAGGACCCGAGTTCACTTTCAGGCCTCATCACAAAATACAACAGGCAAGGAAAACACTGAAACAGCCATGTGGAAGTAAGCACCATTCCATGCTCACGTGGACATCACCCACACAAGTGTCCGGCTACAAGTTGCCAGTTAATGACACTAGCAGTGAGTACTGTGGAGATAAACTGAGGCAAGTTTAGCTTCTCCCTAAACTGTCAACAAATCAGATAAGCCAGACCAAAGGCAATGAATTCTTCCATCTTCAGAAACCTAAGACAGCTATAATTTCTTGCCTTCGGTAGCTTATCAGAGACTTTGAGATCAGATTGTCATCTGCTTGTTGAGGTCAGCTGTGATGAAAGCACAACAGATTGGAAAGAGGTTGAGAGAGATTAAATACTGCTGGATTTTGTTCATGAGGTACCCAGGTGGGTCTCTGATAAACCAGAAAACTCCTGTCTACGGAGACATTATTGCCTGTGGCAGTTTCACTAGCACTTCTTCACTGAGCAAGAGAAAAAATTACCTCTCAGTGCTTCACCTGCCAAAACCTGTACTTTCTGAAGATACATTAAGAGCTCTCAGTGTTACACCGCAAATTTCTGTTAAGTTCTTTATTTTACAGTGGATCAGTGAAGAGCACACTTTTATTGTCAGCCTCATAATTTGTTCATCATCAGAAAGCCAAACCCGAAGGCCAAGCTGGTAGCTCTCTGCTTAATGCTCTGTAGCCTATAGAGTTTTATCCACTAGCCACAGCTGCCAGGAGCGGGATGCAGTACAAACATCATGGCCTCTCAGATTTGAGGTTGAGGAGACAGATCCTTTCAGATTGGTTTGCACTGATCCACAGGTGGTAAACAAAGCCAAGCGATTTGCCCAACATCACAGAGCAATTTAGTAGTATAACCAAGTGGTGTCCCTTGACCTGCTTATCACTGGAGCTCACAGCCTCTTAAGAAATATATATTTATGCATTTCATTAGTAAAACATTAGTTAGTTAAGCTTTACATCTTAAAGACTTACAGCATTTAAATCAGACTACCTCTGCTTACTTGCAGATAAGATAAGATCTAATCTCGAATTATTTTTCATGCAACACAATTCAACCTTAACATTTAAAGAGCACTGTGAAATGATTCAGCACACAGTACTTCCCTTGAATACAGAGGAGATCTTGTGCAAGAGGCAACCCTTAAATACAAAGAGGTAAACTACATGCTCCTTCCGAGTTACACAACTTTTGATCAACAATAACAACTACTTCCCTCCTCAGCAAAGACATGCAACCACAGTCAAGCCAGATCATATCATTTCCTTTATGCTTTTTTTCCCCTTTGACAGCTAAAGTTCAAGCTGTCTGATTAACGACACCAGTGAGATATAAGACAGTATTTACACAGGTAGGTTTCAAAGCTATCATAAGCTACCTAGAGCTGAGTTACAGGATGTTAGCTCAACTCTACTGCTGAAAACAGTTTCCAAGTTCCAGTACCTTTCATAGTATAAGACTTAACCAATAGCTGCAATGGTCCAGCTAAACATCTCAGGAGATCTCATTTATAAATTTCAATATGCATTCAGTTCTGCACAAACGTCATCCTTCTGGTGTGCGAAGACAGCTTTTACCAACTTCAGTGACAGCCCTGCATGCCCAGGGAAGGAAATCGGTCCATGCAGGTGATTCAGATCCCAAACTCCTGACCTGCTGCATGGGATTTTCAAAGAACTACGGGCATTAGGGCACACTTCCAAATTGCTCTTAAGAGTCACCAGCTTTGGTATCTAAGCCCACAACATGCTTTTGGAAGACTCTACCTAAAAACTAGCTATTAAAACCAGAGAGAAATGTGCAAAAGCAAACTTGTGTCTCTTGTCCAAAAATTACAAACCACATCATTCAAATACACCTTTAGGTAAAATTTAGAGGATGCCTAACCTTTCCAGAAACTATAAAAGCAGCTGAGTATTGATGGTATTCAGATGGCTAACTCTTGACAGTGCTCGGACCTGGAGTTGGTCCAAAACGCCTCACTGTAGCAGAGACGTCCACAGGCAGGTGTGGAACACCATTTGCCAATCTGTGGTTAACATCTTTAAATAAAAGGAAACCAAAAAGCAAACATCATTTTTACTTTACATAACTCAACTAAGGAGCTGGGGTGGAGTGAGGGAAGCATTTTGCAAAACCTGTTTTCTTTAAGCCATATTTCAATCCTCACCATAACAATAGCTTTGGCACTGAAATGATGCTGCAGTGAAATACCAGCGTGCACAATGTCAAAACTCGCAGAAGGAAACCAACAATTGGAAATAGTAGTTAAAGTTCATTTCAGCTTTAGTCAAGATTGTATTCAAGGCTCAAAACTCTAAGTGTTACTTACTCACACAGAAGAATGCCGTTTTCTAATCCAGAACGAAAATCTTTCTCACCAAAACTTCTGCCCGTCACTTGCTGCAAAAGAGTAGGGGGAAACAGAAGAGTGGCATCTATTAGAAGGTGTACTTTACAAAAGCAATTCATAACGTTCAGCTAAAGCATCTGCTTCATAGGAAACATCCGAGCTTTACAGGCCTTGCCAAAGGACTAAGTTGTGTCCATCAACCAGCTTCCTCCTTCCCATTTCATCGAGCTATTTAACACATAGAACAAAGTATTTGCTCCGGCCAGTGCAATTACAGATTATAACTGAGCTGTTTCCTAGAAGTAAAAAACAAAAACTACAATGTAATCTTCAGAATATTTTTAGTTTTATTCTATAGCGTTTTGAATTTTAAAACTATTGTATTTAGACAAACTGTATTTTTACTGCTTTTTTTGCATCATGTTAAAAATCTTGTAGCGGGCTTGATCTTCTGGCCTTTAACCTACCACCTTTACAGAATAAGCAAAGGCAACTGGAAGCACTTGCATGAGTTGTAGCCCTTCACACACATGCCACAATACCGTTGGTCATATTAAATGATATTTCACATCATGAAGTCAACTGTGAGCGTGAATACAAACTCGGTGGAAGCTAAGGTTTAGGCACCTACTCACAGTCCGCAGCCTGTCAGGGATGCTTGGACCAGGCTGTACATTCCAGTACAGCCAGTCTGTGCTGCTTAGGGATGGACCATCTAGGAACCGTCTAGGAATCCCAATCTCGCCTGAGGGCGCTGGATGCTACAGGCATGACTGAACCCCTGTTTATGACTCACTACCATGTTGACAATGACTTGCCATTCATCCTCAAATCATTCTCAACAGATGATGTGTTTCAGTTAAAAGAATACTTTTTATTACCGCCAACAAATATATAAAAATAGTTGCTATGTTTAGAGAGCTCTGAGCAGAAACGAAACAAAGCAAAAAAAGCCTGCCTATTTTTTTAATTGTCCTCCAGGAGGTCTTCTCCTCACCCAGCCAAAACATTTACCGGATGCTTATAGAGTTCTCATGGCTCACATCCAATCTTTCAGCAAGAACCTTGCTCTGGGCGTTGCTTCCACCATACAGAATAGTGACTTGGGGACACATCTGTCCTTATGTCCCTATTTTCTCCTTGCTGTTCTATTCAGATAGAAGACCCTTCCCCTCCCAGTTTCCTGTCATAAAGACAGCAATTTATAAAAACTGACAAGTTTGGCACTTTCCCACGGGATTAGCGAATGCACCGGCTTCACAAATGCTGGTTATAGCTATGCACAGTCTTAGAGAACAACACTTTTTTTGAATTGAAGTGCAAATGCAAAGCCTAAAACCTAATCCCCCACTTAATTATAAACATTTTTTTTTTCCAATGTGAAGGAACTTCTCCTAACCAACTGGTATGACAGTGTGCAAACTTTAACACCCCATACTCTGAAAAGTGTATCATAAAGACATCAGTTGACAATCATTTTATGCAAATGCATAAAGTAGAACAAGGCACTGCGTTGCCCTCATGCCTCAGAAGAAACTAGATGCAATTTGCCAGTAGTAAGTGACTTCTAATCATTTAAACTATCTCTAACCATAGTAAGTCATCTCTAATCTCGATCTGCTGGGACAAAGGGAAATCATGACAATAAAACCATTAGCATTTGGGATGAACGATAGAGCACATCAAAACTGACTTTTATTTCATCCATAGAATAAAGTACAGTACACAAAGGAGTAGGAAGAGCTATTTCATAACAGCCTGACTCGTAGTGTTTTTTTCATCTATGCAGGAAAAAAGAAATAAAATAAAGAAGATAGTAATCTTATTTCACTCCTCAACATCAAACGTTCCAGCTACGGAAGTCAATCTGTTTATGTGTTTGTTGAACACCCTCATTCAGCAGGGAGCAGTACCGAAGCTGTTAACAAAATTCAGGTAAGAATCTACCTGCCAAAAGCTGCCACCTGAGTATTGCTGTCATTACTGCTGATGTAGGAAGGTTTCATACATAATTTCTGGCCGCACGAATAAAATCATGAAATGCAAATGCACAGCTGGAACAACAATTCATCCAGCGAGAGGTACAACAAAAACTGACAGCAGGTGAGGAAAGACAGGAAAGTCCAGGAACAGTGCACGTCTGTTCGAAAAGGAACTGGAAGTAAATGAGGCATGGAAAGGTTTATGCCTATTCTAGATGATCCAGCTGCAGAGGGGAAACATTAATCAGCTACAAGTCTCCTGATTTAGCCAATTAAAATGTAAGAGCAGTTCAACAGAGAAAGGCTAGAAACTAAAAATAAGCATGAAAATGACATTATAAATGACAAAGATAACCCAAAAGGGGACTGAGATGAGCAAGAAGCTGGGTCCACCTTTTCCAGAGGAAATTAGAGCTCAGTTTCTTGGCGTATGCACACATGTAAACATGTGCGTGCACACACACACCCCCACCCCCCCGCTGTCTGCAGGAGGCCACTTTGGGCCATACCCTCAAGAACAACTACAGCAGGCCCACAGGCCAGCCTCCTATGCGTGTCCGAGATAACCTTTGCTCAGCGCACTGACAGCGGGCGGAGCGAGGGCTTAAAGTGACTTCAGGTATAAGGATTGGCACTCTGGTATTTGCAAGAGTCCTGCATAGCTAAGCGCATACTGAAGTTTGCCCAAACCCATGTGAAAAGGAAAGCACGTGCATTAGCACTGTATCACAAAACCATTGCGTGTGTCACAGGATCGTGTTCATGTTGTTAATCTAAGCACTGGTCTGTTCCTACTAGCTTATCTTCTTCCATCTCTGGAAAAAAGCCTCCAGTTTGACTGCTGGATGAAACCCCCAGGTCAAAGGTACAGACCAGCACACTTGGCAATACAGGAAGAAGCAGGATACATGGAAGAGTCCCCTATTCACTTCTGCAATGCCAGCACATTGTAATTCTCTGCAGTGCAGGGGTACAACCGTTAGAACAAAGCACCTTAAAGGCAAAACACAAGTTGTATCCTGCTAATGATTACTAAAAAATAAGTTCTATAAAGCTGAAAGGAAAAAAGCCGCCTTTCCATATCATGTTGTAACTTAAAAAAATAGAGAACAGAAGCAAAACGCAATATAATTTATTGTCGTGCTTCATTTATGTGAGGAGGAGTTGTCTTTATTCATCATCTGGATGATATTTTCTTCTCCATAAAAAGCTGCAAGCGTTTTCAACCAGGGCAATTATTTGACGGCCATATGCGTTTCTCAGTTTCCCTGACACTTAACAACCCAGAAAACAAACCTAAAATGAATAATACAAGTTTTTCCAAAAGGAGTATTAGGAGACTAAACCACAGCACACTGACTCTCTATCACAAGCTTATGGCAACATAAGCTTTAATATGTATTTACACACAGTAACACTTCTTATATACAGTATTGTTGCTGATTAACTCCTTTGTTCTTTGCAGTTACGCATGCCATTAAATGTATGTCATCAAGGATGGCTGTCATCCAGCCACTAACCAGTGCCATATTACACAACTCTATTTTCACTAAGCTTCAGTTCACATTGTTTTCCTTGCGTTTTGTATTGCTGCTGGTGCTTCCTGAGATGGAGCTTGCAAAGCCTCTGGTGTCAAAACAGCTTAAGGGCATGAAAAAGAAAAGGTGACAAATTAGTGAGCAGATGCTGGCCTCAGGTGAAATTTATCTGGGCCAACAAGACGTAAGTAGTTGAATAAACACTAAGTCATCGGGGACAACACTTTGAATATAGTTAGCTTCATTTTCTATATGCACATCTCAAAATAGCATGTAAAGCAGTGAACAAAAATATAGACACAGCAGGGAGAGGTCTTTGTTACTCATTACGCACTTTGGAGACCTCGTGAGGCATGACAGCAATGAAAGAAAGATTCTCAAGAAGTTTGGTAGGCTGTTCATTTCTTTCTACGTGGGTACGCTGCATTTCAATTTTGTACAACCACTATTTTCCCCTATATAATTTTTTACTTAAATGAAAAAAGCCCACCCTGCTACTTAACTAGAAAACATACTGCTTTTACTTCAGGGAGATGTGAAAGTAAGGTCTAAACTGTAATCATCACAGGTGTGTAAATAGAAAGCATTGGATCATATAAGCAGCAGGGAACACAAACCACCAAAAGAAGCATGACAGTTTTTAGGGCATCAGGATTTGGTGCCTCTAGAGTAACGAATTCCTACTTCCCCATTTCTGACATACCATTTGAGCTAATAACATGAATATGCAAGTTAAATTCCTTTTTCATGTAGCATAGACAAGAGATTTCTGAACTAAACACCACTGACAAACTTAAAGCCAGCTTTACATTTGCAGACCAGAATTGTACCACGTTGCTACGGCAGCGCAGTGGGATTTGGAGACCCTTCACCGGCTCCTGGTTCTGCCATGTCCTGCACATATCGCATGCTTTGCTCTGTCTGCAGAAGTGGACAGAACACATCATCCAGGCACGAGCTCCCTCCCTCTTACTCCACAGCAGAGGGATTTAAATTGCTAAAATTAGAGCAATATAAGCCAGTCCTAAACAGCTTTATTACAAATATTAGTTGGTTGGTTTAGCACAGACAAACTTGAAGACTGCACGAATGGAGCTTCCCAAGAGCAACAAACACTGGTCTCTAGGTGTACCTATCTTCCAGGAAAGCTGAATGATGACAAGCACTCCGCACAAAGCTTTCCAAGCCATTACAGTATTGAGGTAATTTACTACTAAAATCAATAAAAGGGCGAACAACTTAAATATCTTTAGCGTGTATTTCTACTCTCAAGGACAAAACCAGCATAAGCTCAGAATGACTAATGTAGCCAGCAGTGAACCACCTGAAATTCTGTGGTATAGGAACTTGAAAATTTAAAGAATGCATGGGAAGAAGGGGGGAGATTTCACACTTGGGTAGCAAGATTAACCTGCAAAAAAAGCACTTCACATTATTTATTTTTAGATCTTCCACTTTCTGGTCACTTAAGTTTAACTGCAATTTGCAAAGTTAACTAGCCATGCTGAAGTCCCCTTTGTTCTTTTCC